ATTAAAAAAAAAAAAAAAAAAAAGAAATGTTCACTCTCAACAGTCACTCAGGGAGGTCACAGTGTATGGCAGGCTTTGAGCACTGAAGCTGACATCACGCCTTGAAAACACAGGTAAGGAGGCCACCTCCATTCTGCAGATCACTATCAAACTGCAGTCCCTTTAGTATTTTTCCAGGACACCAAACAGGCAGCATCAATTTCAAAATAAAAAGAGCACAGAAATCCAGCTGGATCCCAAGACAGGCTCAACTGGAATATTCTAGTTTTAAAAAGTGTTTATTTTAAAGCTCAGTATACCATGAGTATGAAAATGTGTTCTCCTTAAAGCTATAATTCCTAAAAGGAACAAACTTCTGATACACACAACATGGATGAAATTCAAATGCATTATGTTAAGTGAAAGAAGTCTGACTCAAAAGCCCAACTGTATGATTCCACTTATATGGCATCCTGGAAGAGGTAAAGTTATAAGGAAAGAAAACTGCTAAGTGTTTGGCCAGGGACTGGGAGTGGGGTCAAGGAAGTGACGGCAGAGGGGCACAATGGGATTTGTGGGGAGGAGAAATGGAACTGTTCTCTGTCTTTTTTTGGCCAATACAAGGATCTGAACCCTTGACCTCAGTGTTATCAGCACCACGTTCTACTGAGGGAGCTAACAGGCCAGCACCCTATTCTCTACCTTGATTATGGTGATGGTTACACAACTATATGAGTTGGACTGGATATTAAAAAGGGTCAATTTTTACTATATGTAAATTATACCACAATTCGAAAAAAAAAAGATGATAAAGAATGCAAATTCCTAATATTGCCCTGGAGCTGTAGTTTTCAAATTGTACTGTACAGTCATCTCAGAGTCCACTTAGGGCTCCATGGTGGGCGTGTCTGTGTAGGGGGAAGCAGGCAGAGGTCTGGGCACACCACCATCCATACTTTCATTGAAGCAGCTCCAGTTTTTTTTTGTTTTTCACATACATACATTTATTTACAAATGCTTATATTCAAGGCTTTATTTGTGGAAAAGTCTCAATGATCAAAAGAAAAAAAGAAAGAGGAGGAAAAAATAACTGGTTTAGGGGCACAATAAAGTCAACTATTGAGATATTAGCTCCTAAGGAACGTATCATGATAAACTATAGAAAATGGGCGGGCTGTGTCTCAATGTCAGGGCCTTGAAAAAAAAAGATGGGGTGAAACCTGCACAGAGATTTGCTTAGAGTCATTGCTGGGGGACACCGGCAAGACAAGCAGTGCCCCAAAGGCCCCAGGGCCTCCACATTCCTGTGATCCCCTTATTGCTTATATAAACATGAGTTGATCACTTATTTTCCAGGAGAAGTCAAAGCTAAATGGGGAAGAATTCATTAAAAACCTCTATAATCAGATAAGTTCCTATTTTTAACCAGCTTCCTTCTCACCCCCGCCCCCCCCAAAAAAACCTAAGATTCATTTTACTAGACCAAAGCTTTTCTTCCAGAAAATCTAGTATGTTAAATATTGCATCTTAATAAGAAATGCATGCTTCCAGTAAATTAGCTGTGCTGAAAATTGTCTATTCCAAACCATCACAGAACTAGAGAAAAAACAGCCAGGGCCTGCCTGAGGATTCTAAACACGGGGACTCCAAGAATGCAATTCTCATTCCTAGGGGCATTACATGGCCATGAAGTCTGGTTTTTTTCCTGAGGCAGGTGAGGTGATCCATCCACAGAGCTTCAATAACTGCCTGGCCCCCAAGTACCCATGCAGAGCCTGCCATGAGCCTGGCAGTGGCCGCACTAGGCTGCCACACTCCCACCCTGAAGTCACCCTCACTCTCTGCCAACGACCTGCTGAAGATTTCATGGAGAAAGCAGGAGCAGTGCCTTCTTTTTTTATTGTGGTCAAAAATCAATAAAATTTACCATCTTAATGATTTTTAAGGGTATAGTGTAATAGCGTTAACTATATGCACACTGCTGTGTGCAGAAATTCTTGGAACTTTTTCATCTTGTAAAAGCAAAACTTGGTACCCACTGAACAGCAACTCCCCTTTTCTCCCTCACCCCAGGCCCTGAAACCACCACTCTAGTTTCAGTACGTAAGAGTTTGATCACCTTCAATACCTCATGAAGTGGGATCACGCAGCATTTGCTTTTTTGTGACTGGCTTGTTTCACTAGCATAATGTCTTCAAGGTCGTAATGTAATCCATGTTGTAACATGTGACAGATTTCTTTCTTTTTTAAGGCTGAATAACAGTCCACCATGGGTGTATGCCACATCTTTGGACATTTAGGTTGCTTCTACCTCTTGGCTACTGTGAGCCATGCCTTCTTTTTAAACCAAATCTCAAACAACCTGTCTGTAGCTACATCCATCCCTCCTCCTAACAACAGTGAATCCCTCTCTCCTGTCTCCCAATCCCACTCTCCATCTTAAGGATTTTGCTCTTTCAGTTAGTTCTTCTATTTGTTCTGCACCATCCATCTTTGCCCCTCTAGAGATCATTCCTATCACATACCAAACATGCTTTGGGATACATCTTTAAGAAAAGACCCATAATGAAAACCTGAACAAAACTAACAAACTGCTGCAGGCTCATGTGAGCAACTCCAAGATTTAAGAACTTTAGGGGGACTCAGTCATAGGGAACCCTCCCCCCCCAATATTGTGAGGTTTACTTCCAGGAGCTCAACGAGGTTCCAGCAGTAAATATCTGATAAAAATCCCTTCATGCTTCTGGCAGGGGAGGGGAAAAGGAAGCATTGTCAAATAAGCAACAGCACTCTGTTCTTAACAAAGCCTACCCTTAGGAGAAACCAGTTAACCAGGGCCTAACTTGCTAGAGTTTTATCAGAGCCCAACTGACCTGGGAGAAGGGAAATACCCAGCTGCAGCCCACTCTAGCCATTCTGTTTCACCTAAGGGCAAGAAAACATTCTGAGAAGCAGGTGTGAATTTCACAGTCTAGAGGCATTTCCCCTCCCCCCACTGTCACTTTACTACAGGCCTATTTACCACAGTCCCTTTCACATACTACATCATGTCCAGCAATCAAGAAAAAATTACCAGGCATACTAAAAGGCAAAAAATATAATTTGAGGTGACATAACAAGCATCAGAACCAAACATGGCAGTGATGCTGGAATTATCAGACTGAGAATTTAAAACAACCGTAGTTAACATGCTAAGGGCTCTAATGGATAAAGTAGACAGAATGCAAGAACAGATGGGCAATGTAAGCAGAGAGATGGAAATCCTAACAAAGAACCAAAAAGAATGCTAGAGATCAAACACACTGAACAGACATGAAGAATGTCTTTGATGTACTTACTAGCAGACTGGACATGGCTGCAGGAAAAATCACTGTGCCTGAAGAGACATCAATAGAAACTTTGAAAACCAAAAAGCAAAGAGAATTAAGATGGAAAATAACAAAGTAGAATATCCAAGGACTATGGGACAACTACAAATGTTATAAACACACTGTCTTTGCTCTCCCCACCCCCACCCCCAGCTTCTTTCAGGATTTTTTTCTTTGTGTTTGATTTTCTGTAGTCTGAAACGATATGCTTAGGTATAGTTTTTTTGGCATTTATCCTTGGGGAAATTCT